GTTAAAAATGCATGACTATTACTCTTCTGATGTCTACCTCAGGGACACCTTTAGCACGCTTTGAGGTCATTTAAATTTAAAACTATTCTCAACACAGACCCCACCACGTAGGCCAGAGTTCAAGAGCCAATATAAAAGTAACAGAATGAACTAACAATGAAGGTGATCAAGCTGACATGGGAAGGAAGTTCTTTGTAAACTATAAGTTCTCAGTAGCATTATTTAGTTTTAATCTGATCTATTATTAACAGAAAACAGCCTTAACTAGATAGATTGGTGTTATAATTTTCTACTTAAAAGAAGCCTCTTAATACTATGGAAAACATATTGAGAATGACTTACCATCTTCAAAGGGTGTCCCTTCTGGTCTGAAAACAAGAAGATTTCTGATTAAAAAAAGTTTTTATTTCTGCTTTTTCCTGATTTTCAAAGAGTGGAAAGGATAAACTCAAACAAGAGAAAGAGGAGCTCATTCTGATAATTTGTGGAGTATTTGTTAATTTAATATCACCTTAGCCCTGGTGATATTTTTATTTATATACACATAAAGGGGGCTTCCTTGGTGGCTCAGACAGTAAAGAACCTGCCTGCAATGCGGGAGACCCAGACTGGATCCCTGGGTTGGGAAGAGTCCCTGGAGAAGGGAATGGCTAACCACTCCAGCATTCTTGCCTAGAGAATTCCACGATAGTGGAGCCTGGCGGGCTACAGACCATGGGGTCACAGAGTCAGGCACAACTGAGCAACTAAAAACAACAAATGCAAGACATAAATAGTAACTTAATTTTCCAAGTTTTCCTTTTAGAATGGTTTTACAAAAAAACAAAAGAAACCTGCCATAATTTTTGCACAAAAAGAATTCAGTTTATAAATATTAATCCTTTTGTAAATATATGTATTCTTAACAGAAAAATTCCTATTTTCAATATATATCAGTAAGATGGAAGTCAATACCCTTTAGTTTAAGGCAATTATGATACCAAAGTGTCCTGCTTTTCAAAAGAGAAATAGCTCTTGTTCAACTAGACTAAATTTATCTGATGTCACCAAGAATGCCAGTTTTTTTTTTTTTTTTTGAGAATGCCAGTTTCTTTTGCCCACATCTTTTCATTGTACCATATCCCTATCTCATCTTTCCTGAGCAGCAACATGAAGGTTACTTTTTTTGTTGTTGGCTCTTCTTTTTTTTAATTGCTTTACAAAGCTGGATTGGTAATGTTTAATTATTATTTGCAAGGTACATTCAAGATCTCAAAGCAGCATGCTAACAGCCTGAATTTAATATCACTTTACTTTAGAAGGGTGAACCACGCTCATTTTCCCCACTAGTTTTCAAAGTAGACTCTTAAAATGGAGTCAATGGCAATTCAGAATTCTGTTTACAGAAGTGTTCCTTTAAAGTTTTAGTGCAAAACGCTAGTATAAAAAGAGCAACAAAAGGGACTTCCCTGGAGGTCCAGAGGTCAAGAATCCACCTGCCAACGCAGGAGACACAGGTTCGATCCCTGGTCTGTGAAGATCCCACAAGCAGAGGAGCAACTAAGCCCACGGACCACAGCTACCGAACCCGTGCACTCTAGGGCCCTCATGTCACAACTACCGAGCCCGTGTGCTGCAACTACTGAAGCTCGAAGGCCTCACTCTGCAACAAGAGAAGCCACTGCAATGAGAAGTCAGGGCACTGTAACTAGAGATAATCCACACACAGCAAAAAATAATAAAGAAAAAAAATTTTTTTTAAAGAGTGAAAGAAAATAAAATCCAGTTCAGGAAAACCAAAGAAAGAGCATGAAGAAATGCTTTTATACAAATAAGCCTATGTGCAATATATACTGCATGTAAAATATAAGACTGCACTTTAAAAGGCTCCATTCAGCTATTTCTCATGAAGCTGTGAAACACTTTTTATTTAAGTGCTTACTATGGTGGAAGTTATCAATATTTTTGGTTCCTACTCTTTTTACAGTTCTAGTAGAATACATACTAAACATTTGCTTGGCACATTTTGTACAAACTAACTTATCATTCTCCTGTAGTCTCAAATGATATTTTTATCAAATAAAACCCAGTGATTATAAAATCAAATTTTACGTGACTGCCAAAACTCTGTATCAGATTTTTTTTTAACCTTACAGTTTCTGTAAGATCCCTCATCCCTCAGTTCCCTTTCCTAGCTGTTATACATTAAATTTCTTAAAAGAATCACCATACCTACCATTTGTTATTTCTTTCAACTCACCCAAATATAACTGCATTCCACTGCATGATGTTGTTTTCAGATGGTGCGCCACTGACACCCACAGGTGGGTCCTCTTGCAATCTAGAAATCCAGAATAGAAATTTTAAAAGTTGAACATTATGGCCACTAAGAAGGCCAATCAAATATCTTTGAACCATCTACTTTGAGAAACAAACTAAATCCATTTTCTTGTTCTTGTACTGCGCTGGAATAAACCATACTACTTTAAATGGCTTGGGAGTCATCCCTCTTCAAATATCACCAAGGTTAAGATATCTGTTCAAGAACTACTTTTAACAACAACAACAACAAAGGAAAAACCTCAAGTGCAAAAAAACACTATTTATCAACCATCAATTTTGCTGTTGTAAACACGCAAAGGCTGTGTGTGTCCTAACCAAAGCTACTTGGGCAACATGGCCACCAAAAAAACTCTCTCCCAAACAAAATATAAAGACCCCACAAAAGACCCCACCTCAGTGTAAGCATTAAATGACTGAAAAACACTTGCATCCAGGTTAATCAGCAAACTAGTTTTGCACAGTAGAGCTACTTTATTCCATTCGCTTTAGTTAGTAGCTTTTAGAGTAAGCAGAGCTCTGGCTAGGTTTTCCCTCAGTCCCTATTTTAAAAGCTCTGCACCAATACTGCATTTTACTTCTCAGATCATATACAAAGCTACCTTCCAACACCTGTCACAAATTCTTGCAAACGAAGACCCTTGGAAAACTACCGAAGATGCCAAGCACTCAACTCAGAATCAAGCAGAGAACTGCAATGAGAAATCAGGGTACCAAAGGCTAGGAACCTCGAAATTATTGGAATTTCACTCATGGGAGCTAATCTGAAATCTATGGTTTCAAGCTGTAGAAACCGAGTTTTGCACCAAAAGGAGTATCTCCTTTTAAAACTGTCATCTCAGGGGGGAAAAAAGTAAACGGGACACTAAATATACATATACACACACAAACACACCGTCATGTGGTATATGATTTTTGGAATTAGTACCCCCAAAATGGCTTTAAGTCAACCTCAAGCAGTGCAACTCAGGACGAAGAGAACCCTTGGAAGATACGCTGCGTGATATCGCCCACCAAAGATAAAGGCTGAGTTACCAATACACTCAAGGCCAAACTGGGCAAAGCCCCAAACAATGGCTTCCAAGTGCCTCATTTAAAGGTTTACAATGAAGCTGAGAGGTTACTTCCTGATAAGTCAATCCAAGTTTTTACACTGGATTTTTTCTCTCAAGCAGGGCAGGTCTCCCTAGAAAAACACTTAAAAATGCGCACGGGAGCGTAACGCTAAGTTTTCTTGGACATTTTCTTCTCCGTACCTGTAAGCATTCAAAGGAAAACAACTTGTAGTGGGGGGGTGGCGGAGTCACTTCCTCCTCATCAATTCTAACACCTCCTAACAAAACCCTATTTTACAAAGGAGGCTCAGGGAGTATCAGGTTAGCGCCAGCCTCCAGGAAGGCATTTTTCCAGACTTTGGAGGCTATAGATAGGCCTTTATACACCAGGCCACAGAGCTGAGTTCCAGAAAGCACTGGCAGCCGGGTTTGCCAGCCCGACTCCCAGCCCTCTAAGCCAGTTCTCAAGGTCCTTTCAGGCGGGCGGGGGGGAAAGAGTCAGGTTTCGGAGGATGGGTTAACAACCTCCGGCCCTCGCGCATCAGACCCCACCCTCACTGCAGAAAGAATGGGGAGGGAGGCGGGGGTTGGCCCCAACCCTGGCAGTCGGAGAAGACGGCAAGGCCATCGAACAAAGCTGACTGGTGTAGCTAGCTAGCGGTGGAAAGGCTTCTGCAAGGGCTCGCTCTTAGGGCAGAGAGGAGAGGCGCCGCAGGGTGCAGAGGCGAAGGATGAGGTTTGAAAGCTAGGGCGAGGTATCAGGCAACTGGCCGCAATGGGCAACAGGGAATCGTAGGACAGACCATAGCCATCTTTTTACTTTTTTGTGGGGGTAGGGTGGCGGTGAGAAACTATCAACATTTCTTACGTAGGACAAGTGAACAACCAAGGAAAAAGAGTGCTAAAACGGAGCTAGAACTGGGCTTCCGTCTGTCCCCCTGGGCCCACAGCGGCCCTCTTAGGGTCAAGAGGGGAAGGTGTCCCGGATCCCCACCCTAGCCCCGTAGATTTGGGGAGGAGTCGTCATTGAGGCGAAAATGAAGGCCCTTACCGCTTGAAATCCCGCATAAGCCTCCTCCGGGCCGGGGTCGACATGCTCCCCAGCAGCCCCGCGGTCAATCTGAAAGAAAAGAGTCCCGAGCAGCCCCCCCACCCCCCGGCGCGGCGGCCGAATCACTGTGGGTCACCGCCGCCGCCGAGGTTGCACAAACAACCCTGCAATGACGTCTCCCTCCGCCGCCTCCAGATCCCTCCGCCCTCCGCCGATACCATGCAGTGAGGGGTGGGGGAGAAGGGAACGGGACATAGGAGAGCTAGTTATGGGAGCCCCTCAGCAGGGACCTTATCCCTTTTGTCTCCTTGAACGAATTGACCAATTACTGTTCTCTATGCTCAGACTGGAGGGTGTGATTAGGAAGTACCGAAACTGAAACACCAACCCGTCTCCCCCTCTTTCACTAGTTTAGGCTCAGCCGGGTGGGGAAGAGAGGGACGCATCCGGGGCCAGAGATTTCAGGAAAAGGAGGTGGGATGACGTAAGGTCACGTGACTGCCGGCGGCGTTGTCAACAATCCACCTCCGAGGGGGAGGGGACGAAGTATCTAGAACCACGTGTCCCTATGACGCCTTTAGGACAGATCACGTGAGAACGTCGCCTGGATCTAACTTTCAGCTAAGTCTTTCAGCCCGGTAGTTAAATTTACGGGCTGAGGGCTGGTATGCACTTTTATTCGTTTTTTTCTCCAGTTTGTGTCGGAAGCAGTTAGTTTGTGTCGGAAGCAGTAGTTTGTCTTGCTTGTTAAATCTTTAAAATAGAGCCCCAAATAATTTGGATTTAAAACTCCCCTCTGGTTGGCTCAATGGCTTATCAAATCTGGCATCTGAGGAAAAGTGAAGGGACCTCCGTTTTCCTCAGCTGAATGCTGAGGCCCATACAAAGCGAAATCCTCTGAAATGCTTCCTGAGGGCCACCAAATATTACTGTATGAGCATTGCAGTGTGTTTCCAGGGTTGACAATACTGGGCAGAGATGAAAGAACGATGTGCAGATTGCTTAATGTTTGTTTACAATCCTCACACAGGATTACGGAATTTTGTTTTTTCCTTATGAGTCTGCTCTTATTTGAGGCTTTGTGTCAGAGTCCTTGGATTTGTCTACAGTTGGCGTACCGTTGTATTTGTCAAGAAAGGCGCGGGTTTGATCATAGAGTGTGTGTATAAAGGGAGTGTAGGTGACTGGTTGTTAAACCTAAAAATTTGACTCACATGTCATACAGTGACATGCAGAGATAATACAGTCGTGGATAGGGGTTGTATATCTAACCTGAGTAACTTATTTCAGATTTTCAACACTAGTAAGTTAATGGCCTGAAATGTCCCCCACCAGGGCTCAGAGATATTGGCCGTTGGAATTCTGACATTATTTCTAGTCACTGAGTTCCCTTCCTCTGTCGCCTCCAATTCTGTTCTTAAGACTTTCTCAGGCTGAACCCTGAGCTCTTTATGTCCATTTGGGTGATTCCTCAACCTAAGGTGTTACAGGAAGAGAGAACGAGGAATATGGCGTTTGGCATACTTTCATTGAACTAGAAAAGGTTAATTTCCCCTACTTTTCTGGTACCTCTCTTTCTTCAATCCCTGAATTCTTTCTCTTGCTTTTATTAACTGCCTTGGTGATCAAGTTAGCCAGATCTAATACTTGATAGATACCCCTTGACAAATGTAATTCTGTAAGTCAAAAAGTGATTTTCTTATTTTCATTTTTTTTCCTTCCTGCCATAGCAGTTCTTTTGGAGAAGGCAATGGCACCCCACTCCAGTACTCTTACCTGGAGAATCCCATGGATGGAGGAGCCTGGTAGGCTACAGTCCATGGGGTCGCTAAGAGTCAGACACGACTGAACGACTTCACTTTCACTTTTCACTTTCATGCATTGGAGAAGGAAATAGGAACCTACTCCAGTATTCTTCCCTGGAGAATCCCAGGGACAGGGGAGCCTGGTGGGCTACCATCTATGGGGTCGCACAAAGTTGGACACGACTGATGTGACTTAGCAGCAGCAGCATAGCAATTCTTAGCTTCGCTATAGCTAAGGATGGAGACATACTAACTGTTAGGGTTACCCTACAGTGAAATGCTAAAGAGAAAGTCTTTAAAAAACAATCTGTCATTTGTTTAGCAATTATAATTGTTTTGGAAATCTACAGTTCATGGTTCAGAATGAAGTAATGCTTTCGATCAAATCAAGTAAGTTTCATTAAAGTCCGAGAGCTTTATTGTATAAGCAAGAATCCTACGTTGTCCTGGTTACCAACCCTGTCATAACCTAGTTGTAGAAAGGATAGTTTTAAGGCTATAATTTTTTAGGGTAGACTCAGTTGCTCTAGATTGTGAGCTCACTGAGAGCAGGGACTCTGATTCATGCTTTGATCCTTGCCAACATTATAAGTCAATAACAAATATTTAATAAATGTGCTTTACAAGTCTGGGTCCAGTATAAGATTCACTATGATACTCATAGAAAATATAATATAGTTGAATAACTTTTCAAAAGGAAAGACAATTTTGAATATTTTTATGGTAATAAGCAAAAACCATGACTACCTTTCTTTCCCCCTGTCTCTCAATAAAAGCTGTCGCAGCATAGAAACACTTAAGAATGTTTTAAAATACCAATTTCTTTACCCTAACTCATTTAAATCAGGATCTCTGGGGGTGGGGCCTTTTAACAAGCTCTCTAGGTGTGATTTTATTTTTTTATTTTTTTCTAAGTGTTATTTTAATGTGCATGTTGGGGTAAGACCAACTGGACTAGAATTTATTGGATAATAATAACGCTTTCTCTTATTCAGAAGCAAAGTGAGATTTGGCCTCTTACGCTTAACTTTTTTTTTTAGCAGGAAAATGAAAGCCGTAACGAAAACAGCGCTGCCTGGGCACTTCCAGTGATATTCTTTTTATTCATTGGAGGCTGTCACTCAATCCGAATCCCATGTCTAGTTCTTAGACAATTAAGATTCCGGGAGGTGGGGTGCCTTGTATGTCACTCTATTTTGTGGTGGAGCCCTTTGAATTATTTGCTTTTCCAAAGAGGGCCTTTTACGAGTTTTGACGTGTAGAAAGGGAATTTTTTTTTTTTTTAAAGAGAATTACTATGAGTTCAGGAAAAAAAAATTTAAGCATGTAAGAGGTGTTCAAGAAATGTTCTTATGAATCGTCTTATCCCTGTTTTAGGAATGAATGTCGACATCTGAGGTCAAACACAGATTATGTAACATTAAGATAACTAGGTAACTTAGAAAACTATAATTTTACAAGACTTCCTTGGAAGTCTCGTTTTACAAGCAGTCTCTACCTGTGACACCAAGCATCCTTTTAGGATCCAGCACAAGAAGCAAGTGTTCTCGGGCCTGGGTGCGTCTAAGATGCAGGTCGGATAAACTTCCACCCCGGTTCCCCTTCCCTAGAGTATTTGCATTTTCTCGAGCTTTTGCCAAAGTATGATCCTCCCCTGTCGCGGCTCAGAACCAACCTTATGTAGTGGCCCCAGTTTGACCGACAGCTGCTCGTATTACCGACCTCCACTCGCAGGGAAGCTTCCAGTTAACCCCCACAGGAACTCTTGTCCGCGCGTTCCCATTTTCCCTTCCGGGTCGGGCCTGGCCGGTTTTCCGGTCTTGCGCAGTAGACCCCAAGCCAGTGACCTGCTGCCCCGTTGCTATGGTAGTAGGCAGCCGGGAGCTAGCAAGCTAGGTAGGATGGGAGTCGCTGTGACTGCACTGAGCCAGGCTGCAGGATCACAGAATGGGCTGAGGCAGCGGCGGCTGTCCGGACGAGGTCGACGGTGGGGAAAGAGGCGCGGCACTGGTCTGGGACTCTGAGTCTCCTGATTTGAGGAGCGGGCGGGACCAAGGTTTTCTTGGGTCCCGGGGCCTGATCTGTTGGTGATTGCAGCTTTGCGGAAAACTTATATTTGATGGGGCTTGACGAGACGTGTGGGGACCCTACCCATGATGAATAGGTGACATGTAGTGAGAGCATCTTAAATCTTGGTGGGAATGATGGAGACAGTAGCAAGTTCCCCCAAGTTCTGGTGGTGGCCGAAGCCACATAAAGAAAGACACCCTGCTGCCGAACTGGCAGAGTTCCCAGAGACAAACGGGACTCGTGGAAAAGAATCCTAGTTTTCCTTTTCCCGTAATTTAAAGTATTATTGTGATAATGCATTATCCACGTTGAATAAATAAAGGTATGAATGTTTAATCTTCTCTCCCCCCCCCCCCCTTTCTTTCCATGAAGAAAAAACCGGGCTTCAAAATGGAGATGTATGAAACCCTTGGAAAAGTGGGAGAGGGAAGTTATGGAACAGTCATGAAGTGTAAACATAAAGATACTGGGCAGATAGTGGCCATTAAGATATTTTATGAGAAACCAGAAAAGTCTGTCAACAAAATTGCAATGAGGGAAATAAAGTTTCTAAAGGTTTGCTTCTTTTACCTTAATTGCTCTCTGTAAGTCAAAAAAGAGATTGTTATGAAATAAAAACTTATATAACGAATATTTCAGTTAACATAGGTATTTGGAATAGAAAAACAAGTGTGATGGCTTACCTTATTGTGTACATTTTGTAATTTTACAGTGATACTAGATAAATGTGCTTGTGTATAATGTAACAAAAACTGCCAAATGTGAAATAATTATTTGATTATTTAGTTTTATAACACTTAATAAAAATGTCTGTGTTTGTGCCAGATGTTGTGACTATAATGAGGTGAGAGACAGTACCTGCTCTTCAGAACTTTTATTATTTAATCAGAAAGACAAGAGGGCATATGAAAATAACAGTGAATTTTAAGTGACTCACAGTAAAAGCCAGTGATTAACACAAAGTCCTACTGGATAGGGAAGATTTCTTGGAGGAGGTGGAACTTGAATTGGGCTTTAAAAGGTATGTAGGATTTAGGAAAGAGGGAGAGACTTGTTTCCCAGGTTAGGGGAACAGCATAAGCTCGAGACCCTAAAGCAAGACAAAGGACCAAGAGCAGAGCAGAGTGGACAAAGAGCATTTGTGTGTAGAGTTTCTTATACAGGAGTGGAAAGAAGTGAGATTAGAGAAATTGGAGATAGGTTTTTTGGGTTTTTTTAAAACATTTTTTTTCTTTTTTTAAAAAAGTATTTATTTGGCTGCATTGGGTCTTAGTTGCAGCATATGGGATCCAGTTTCCTGACTCAGGATTGAACCTTGGTCCTCTGCATTGGAAGCCTACAGTCTTATCCACTAGACCACCAGGGAAATCCCCTGAAGATAGGTTTTAAAGTCTTCTAGGCTAAGAAATCAAAACTTGAATTTTCCAAGAGATTTTGAATTCAGGGTAAAGAAATGGTTAATATTAATCTAGCATTATTTTTTTAGAATAGAGGACTATAGATTGGAGGACTGAGAAAATAAAAATAGGGAAATGTGTTCTGATCTTAATTCAAGAATCCTTAAATGTGAGGGACCTTGCTAGAATGCAGCACTTTGAATTGAAAGTAGTAATATATTACTAAAGAAGACGTGAAAGTGTAGAAGGCAACAAAGAGGAGGAATCAAAGGTATCTTTGAGGTTCAGTGATTGCTGCCATTGATGGAAATATCAGAGACTCAAAAGAGACATGGGTTGGGAACTAGTTCAGTTTTAGAAATGTTGAATTCGAGGTGACAGGAAATCAGTAAAGATTACCAGTAGGCTTTTAGACATTGGGAACAATATGAGGAGTGATCAGGGGACAAGATAGAATTTCATGTAGGTATGATAGATCCACCCAAGGGAAAGACTTAAGAAGTGTAAAGAAAAGAGCATTAACATTCCTAAGGGATTGGGTACAAAACTAGTGATTTAAAAAAATATCTATATATACATATGTATTTTGTTTATTGGAATTTAGATGCTTTAAGGTTCATAGTCCAGATGTTTTATATGTGATGAAAAAAAACAGCTTCTTTTCTTGTTCATTTTTATCTGATACAAAAGTAATATTCTTTTCTTGCTTTGTAAGTCTGTATTAGATATGATGGATCAATTTGCTTTCTAAATAGAAATATATTAGGCATCTGTGGATCGTTGGAACTGCTCTATTTCTAGACAATGAAAAGGGAAGTTAAAATCAGTAGAAATGTTATGATTTTGTGAGAGACACCTGTCCTTATCCTGATGACCTAAAACATAATAATACTGGAAGGCAACTTTGTGCACCATAAGTGAAATCTGATTAGGAGACCTTTTCCCAGGCAATATCTTTTGCTCTTTTTTTTCACCTTTGTTGCATTTAAGCAGTTTTTTTTCCCCTTCTTGATTGTTTTGTAAAAATAACTGATATGTGGCAAGAACACAGAGATGAATTTGACAATTTACTATTGTAATTATTCAAGCTATTTTGAGATACCCTAACTTTTCTTCCCATTGGTTTATTTCTTGTAGAATTTTTAGTTTAATCAAATCTAATTCCACCAGAGACATTTCTCGGATTAGTTAACATTCTTAGTCTAAAAACAACTGCCATAATGACTTAATTAGAACTAAATTTTTATCTGCTAGAATTTCATTAAATAAGTTAGAGTAACTAGTGGGAGTATCTGTACAAAAGTTTTCTGTTTATAAAAGAAAACAAAAATAAACAACCTGAAAAAGGACAGTGGAATATTTCTGGGGGTTTCACGGTTTATCTGAGGAAGTCACTGGTCCCTTATCCCTAGATGCTGCTGCTGCTGCTACTGCTAAGTCGCTTCAGTCGTGTTCGGCTCTGTGCAACCCCATAGAAGGCAGCCAAGCAGGCTCCTCTGTCCATGGGATTCTCTAGGCAGGAACACTGGAGTGGGTTGCCATTTCCTTCTCTAGTACCCCTGGATGGATGTTCCTTAATGCTTATTAACTTGCACTCACCCTTCTCTGCTTTTGCCTTTAAAATTACAACTGGACAAGAAAACAGTAATTTTCCACAGTTGAAGGATTATATTGTAGTATCCAAAGGCAGTCTTTTTTTTTTTTTTTTTTTTTGCTACTGCCAGCTTGTTGCTATAGCACTCTGGCACCCCACCAACCAGGGAAATTGGAGCAAAAATAGGAAAGGAATCCGGCATTATATTTTGGCATGTTTTTCTGTTAGTCATGTTTTGAGGACTTTAGTTTATATATTAGTACAGATAACTAGAAAAATTGATATTGTGCCATTGGAATAAAGGCAAATTTTTTTTCATCCAAGTTAACTTTTTGATGAATTCAACATTGAAAATATACCCCTTAATTTTTAACCAAAGGAATAAATATTTTTGGTAATTTGAAAAAGTTAAATATTTGAGAATTGATTGTAATTAAGTCAGTGTGTTAAAAAATAGAATAAGCAGCATAAAATGTTAAACCTCTTTTAGTTTTCTAAGATGATATATTCCATTATTGACATTTTGAAATTACTTGCAGTGAGTGCTTACCAATGTAAAAACGTGTTTCATTGCTTGATAGAATCTTACAATGAGCAAAAATGTACCCACAGATAATTGTATATTTATATAAATTTCCTATGGATGTAAATTGGTATTTCACATATATGAAAAGTTTCTAGATATTTTTATATCTTTTTGTTACGGTGTGATGAATTTATAACCTCCATCTGGAACTTAACATTTTACTCTTGAGAGTTCAGGACCAAACTCAGTAATTAATTTCTATAAATTCTGATTACATGCTCAGTGGCACTGGAATTCATGCCCATTTGAAACCATAAGGACCTTTTAATCACAACCAATGTAAAGGATAGGACAATATCTCTTAGCAGAATACAAAGTTACATTTCAGCATGTTAACTCTGAATTATTTTAGAAAGCAAGCAAATGTCAACTTGAAGTAAAGCAATATATCTCCCTTTGTTCTCTAAATATTAACTATGAAATAGATAAATATTTAAAGTAGGAATGTAAGCAAATCAACAAATTTTTATTGAAATGCATGGAGGAAAAGAAACAGAATATTCCTCTTTTTAAAATTATATGAGTCTTATATGTGCAAATTATGGTGCATGAGATACTTATTAAAAATCCATTTCTTTTGTTGATAGCAATTTCGTCATGAAAACCTGGTCAATCTGGTTGAAGTTTTTAGACAGAAAAAGAAAATTCATTTGGTGTTTGAATTTATTGACCACACAGTTTTAGATGAGTTACAACATTATTGTCACGGATTAGAGAGTAAACGACTTAGAAAATACCTCTTCCAGATTCTTCGAGCAATTGAATATCTTCACAATAATAATGTAAGTGCTTAAAAATAACCCAAACTATAGGAAAGCCGTGAATTGTAAGTGCCTTTTAAACGTTCTGTTTTTATGAAAGTTGTTAAAATTATTTTTCTGTGCAATATTGACATTGTGAAAATGGAAAGAAGGTTGGGGGAATTACTACCTTATAATTCAGTCACAGAACCAAAAACCATATTGAACACACAATAATTGTAACCATAAAGCAGACCAACTCTGAGATGCTAAGGAGGTATGGAAAAGTCAGCAGTCAACTCTGGCGTCTTTTATTAGTGAAAATATATTAAGACATCGAAAGTAAGCCAGCCCAGATGATGGGAGGTCAGAAAGTAGGAATTGGAAATTAAGCCAGGGGAATGGCAAGAGAATGTGGATGCCTTTAGGGAAAGAAAGGAGAGAAAGTGGCTGAGGAGTGTAGAGCCTTGTCTTTTAAATCAAGAAAGAAAAAAAGATCAACTGTTTTGATTTTTAGTGTTGCCTTTTAACATTGTTTAGTTACTGTTTATTTCAGCAGGTTTTTATGGACATACTTTGTTCCCAACATGAACTATACTTTCTGTAAAGTTAGACGTAGTAAGTGATATTAGGCATAACATCTATATAGCCTAAGCTTTTTCAGATACCTTAATTTCTAATAGTCTGTCTCAGTAATAGTGCATCTCCTGTTGCAGCTTTGTTGTAATGGCATCTAGGACTCAGATTGTAATTTCCTTGCCCAAATGGATCCAAGGCGAGGCAGTATAATGTAATAGTTAACAGCACACAGTCTTTGGAATCAGACTATGCTAGATTTTTACCTAGTGGCTTATCTATAGATAACCACACAACTTGTGTAGCTCACAGTTACATAATGAAAGGTGGTCCCATTACTCTGTGGCCCCAGGAAAATTATCTAACCTTTTGGAGCCTCAGTTTCCTCATCTGTAAAATAATGCTATATAGTACCTCACAGATTTTTTGGTAAAGATCAAATTAGGTAATAGCTACATAGTGTTTAGCACTGTGTCAGGTATATTTTAAGTGCTCAATAAACAGTGCTGATGGGGAGTCAGATATAGTTATCTCTATCCCTATAGTGTCTTGCCTGTAGTAGACTAAAAACATTTCTTGAATAATGGGAGACACCAGTCTGAGAGCAGAAAACTTCAAAGAGGAGGTAAAATTAAAATAAGAATTTTGAACTTAGGTGTTTAAATTCAGGCACATAAGGAAACAACCCAAGGGCTTAACAGACAATTGAGATGTCATTGATACACATATGAATATTACTAAGCCATGAAAAAGGGTGAAACATTACCATTTGCAGCAGCATGGATGGACCTAGTGAATATCATACTGAGTTAAATCAGACAGAGAAAGAGAAATATATCATTTAAATGTGGAATCTAAAAAATAATAGTAATGAATCTATATACAAAACAGAAGCAGATTCACAGACATAGGAAACAGCCTTACAGTTACCAAAGGGGAAGTGGGAGGGCTAAACTGGGAGTAGGATTAACAGATGCAAACTACTATATGTTAAATAGATAAACAGCAAGGATTTACTTTATAGCACAGGGAACTATAGTTAATATCTTGTAATACCTATAATGGAAAATAATCTGCAAAATAATATGTATATAACTGAATCACTTTGCTGTACATCTGAAATTGACACAATATTTTGATTCAACTATAGTTCACTAAAACAAACAAAAATGGCTTACTAGAATCAAAATGGAGTAAAAATGTAAATGATCTTGAAACTAATAAAATGAATCAAAAAAGTTCAAGCACATAGAGCTAATAGAGCAGAATTGTTATCATTGTAATATGGAGTTCTATATATTGTGGGAGCATTTCACTACAAAATAAAGGAGAATCAAACTGTTTGAATCCAAAATTTGATAATTCATATCATATACAAAAATTAACTCTAAATGGATTAATGACCTAAATGTAAGCTCCAGAACTATAAAACTCAGAAGAAAACATAGGTGGTAATCTGTGTGGCCATGTATTATGCAATCATTCTTTTTCTTTTTCAGGCAATCATTCTTTAGATATGACATCAAAAGCAAAAGTAATCAGAATAGACAAATTGGACTCCATCAAAATTAAAAACTTTTGTGCATTGAAGGACACAATCAAGAAAGTAGAAATACAGTTCACAGATGGGAGAAAATATTTGAAAATCACATATGATAAGCAACTAGTTTCTAGATTATATAAAATACAATTCAACATAGAAAGACAACCCAATTTAAAAATGGGCAAAGAATAATAGCAAGTATATTTATTTAAAATCTTAGTAGACATTCTCCAAAGAAGATATACAAATGGCTAATAGCACATGAAATGATGCTCAATATCTTGAGTCATTATGGTAATGCATATCAAAAATCATGGTGAGATACCATTTCACACTCACTAGGCTGGCTGTAATTTAAAAAATAGACAAGAACGAATATTGGCAAGGAAATTGAGAAACTGGAACCTTTATACACTGCTGGTGGTAATGTAAAATGGTGCAGCTGCTATGGAAAACAGCTTGGCAGTTCCTCAAAAAGTTAAACATAGAATTAGCATATGACCCAGCAATTTTACTCCTAGGTATCTATCCAAGAGAATTGATAGCATATGTTCGCAGAAACACCTGCCCAGGAATGTCATATAAGCATTATTCAAAATAGCTGAAAAGTGGAAACAAATGTATATTAGCTGATGAATGGATAAACAAAATGAAGTATACCCATATAATGGGATTTATTCAGCCTCAAAAAGGAATGGATTGCTGATGCATCCTACAGAATGAGTGAAACTTGAAAACATGTTGAAAAAAATCAAATGCAAAAAACACATAAGTATAAATTCCACTTAAATGAAAAATTCAGAAGAGGCATTTTTGTCTCCAGATACTTTGGAGTCCAGTTTGTCTGGGCTTCCCAGATGGCACTAGTGGTAAAGAATTTGCCTGCCAATGCAGGAGACGCAAGAGACCTGGGCTCAGTCCCAGGGTTGTCGGAAAGGTCTCCTGGAGAAGGAAATGGCAACCCACTCCAGTATGCTTGCCTGGGAAATCCCATGGACAGAGGAGCCCGGTGGGCTACAGTCCATGGGGTCCCAGAGTTGCACACGACTGAGCATACTTCTTTGATTGCTTTTGCTTTTGATGTCATATCTAAAACAAGTTTATATTTGTTTATTTTTGAAGAAATGTCTAGTCAAGTTCTCTGCCCATTTTTAAATTGGATTATTTGTCTTCCTATTGTCAAGTTGTATTTTCTAGATTTTGGATAGAAGATCCTTGTCAGATACATGATTTGCTATTATTTTCTCTTCTGGGTTGCCTTTTTGCTTTCTTGATACTGTTTTTTTTCCTCCTTCGCTTAGTTTTTTTTAATCATTTCTTTCTCTTTATTGATATCATTTATTTGGTAAGACATTCTGTTGATACTTTTCTTTAGTTCTTTAGATATGGTTTCCTTTTACCTTGAACATATTTAAACAACCAAGAGAAGACTCTACACATGGACATCACTAGATGGCCAATACCAAAATCAGATTGATTATATTCTTTGCAGCCAAAGATGGAGAAGCTCTATATAGTCAGCAAAAACAAGACTGGGAGTGGACTGTGGCTCAGATCATGAACTCCTTATTGCCAGATTCAGACTTAAATTGAAGAAAGTGGGGAAAACCACTAAGCCATTCAGGTATGACCTAAATCAAAACCCTTATGATTATACAGTGGAAGTGAGAAATAGATTCAAGGGACTAGATCTGATAATGTGTCTGATGAACTATGGACATGAATTGAGGTTTGTGACATTGTACAGGAGACAGGGATCAAGGTCATCTCCAAGAAAAAGAAATGCAAAAAAAGCAAAATGGCTGTCTGAGGAGGCCTTACAAATAGCTGTGAAAAGAAGAGAAGTGAAAAACAAAGGGGAAAAGGAAAGATATACCCATTTGAATGCAGAGTTCCAAAGAATAGCAAGGAGAGATAAGAAAGCCTTCCCCTGCGATCAATGCAAAGAAATAGAGGAAAACAATAGAATGGGAAAGACTAGAGATCTCTTCAAGAAAATTAGAGATACCAAGGGAACATTTCATGCAAAGATGGGC